TATAATAACTTTATTGAGATACAGTGATTTTACATTATCTGATTCTTTTTAGAAATAAAAAGTAAAATCGATAAAGTATAATAATGTAAAATATTAAGAAATTTTTCTCATTGATAATTTGACTCGTTGATGTCTTTTACACTATCCGTCGCTAAAATACAAATGTATATGTATATAAATGCGTACTAAGTACTACACGGAAACATATTGTTTGTGACACACGTAATATAATTGGAAAAACCTAAGTGGTTTGGTTGCTGCTTTTAATTAAATGTCGGAGTTCAATAAAGTTTTTATTGTCGGCGCGTTACCGATCGAAGATCTATATAATAAACGTCGATACCTGGAAACATGCACGCGCCGAAGGTAGTTCCGTGTCGCTTGACGTCCGGCAAACCTTCGACGTTTCCGAACAAATTAGTGTTGACTATGGTCAGGGGGGAGGGGGGCGAGCGGCATGTTCGCAGTTCGCCGCCGCGAGGTCGCTGTCTTTTTACTCGCGTTGCCTCCTGACATTCGAACTTAATGGAATTGCTTTATTGAAATTTAAACACAACGAGCGCCGACGTAATGGAATAAAATTAGGTTATCGTAACAACAAAACGGTCCTCGAGTGGCCATCTTTAAGCTCACGCCGGCCCAATAAGAATTCGAAACATTTATGAAAAGGAAAGACGCATACGTAAGACTGTCTCACTCTCACCATTGCTACGAGCTTGCAGCGCGAAAGGAATAGGTGTAGGAACACGATACTATCGACGAATAGTCATTGTTCTTGTTCGTTATGGAACAAAATAAAGACAGAGCAGCGGTATTCGTGACTCGAGACAAAACTATAGCAGTTACGGCGTGCGACAAGGACGGCCTATAAGGTTTTTGGGTCGATGCCCGGACGAAAGAACTTAAAATTGGATTTTATAAAAAAGTGTTTAGAATATAATAATTATAGAAACACAGTTAAGTTAAGATGTAAAGGTTATTAATATGTTAACCTTTGTTCAAAGCGGACATAAAAAAATCGCGACACCAAAACCTGTCTATGATATTAATGAACAAAAATGTAGAAAAAAAAACATAACATGTTTCCTATTTTTAAAATTCTTATTTTAACTATAACTTGTACATGTTTTATTACTTAATACTATACTTTTTCTCTTTTCATTAAACATTATCCATAAAATGTTCTAAAATTCAGGTTACTGAAAAAAATGCGTACTGGAAGTTTTAACTCGCTATAAACCAAATAAGGAAAGACATCTTAGTGACGTAACAGGAATGAATCTGAGGACATTGCACCTCTTCCCGCTTTAGTGTCCGGACGGTGACCGTTCCCCCCGCGTACCGTTACGACGTCCTTGGCTGAGTTCTGTAGCGCGGGCGGGGGGCGGCTTGCGGCGGGTGGCACGCGGGGGGCGACGCGCTCAGCAGGTCGCTCTCGACCCGTTCCGCGCGGTTGCCGCAGCGCGCATGTGTGTGTCTCACGTCCGCGTGTGTCGCACTTGCACGCTCCACTGCGCATGTGTGAGTCAATTGAATTACTCCTAACGGATATTACGGAATTCGTAAGATAAATGCCACGAATTTAGAGTAAAAATACGCACTTAACGACATTTGCATTTTTTTTATAAATGTGTGTGATATTATAAATAAGGAAAACATGTATTGAATTAACATTTAAATGCCTCTTGAAAATACTTTAAGTGATTATCATGTGTGTATTTAATAGTACAATGATGTAAATATTATGTTAACTACATATATTACAAATTATTATTATTAATTATTTTTAGAAAAAATATATGTCAAAACGAAAGTCACTAAACTGAAGCAATTAATAGCGCGACCGTATAAAATTGCTACAATGCATCATGATAGTTAAATGACTTTATCAGATAATCTTATAGGTAAATATATTATTTTAAACCAAGAAATAAATAATAATAAAATTATAGCAATCTTTCGATTTCGTAAAATATTTTCTTTATAAATAAACCTTAAGCAAGTATAAGAACTATATTATAAAATAAATACTGATATATTTTATAATATAATTATAAATCAAATTTCCTGTACAAAAATATAAGGCAACTTTGAAACCAAAATAGACCAAACTAATTACATCTATCGAGCTTCATAATGGCATTTGTATGAGGCGCGCGGCCTTGCGCTAGTGTATTTGTTGCCAACAATGCACTCACGTGCTCAATAGCTATAACAATTTCGAAACTGTAACTGTTAAAGGTCAGTAATCAGAACCGGAGTGTCGTGTGCGCGGCGCCACCGCACCAACAACACCGACAACACAGCTTTAAAAAATCCTACGCCGTCTTTAATTACTTCTTGTATTTTTTTACTTTAATTTTATCTCTGCAGTCAAAAGCTTTTAATACGATGAGGCTAATATCGCAGCTCAGTTATTGAGTGTTGAGCAATCGAGCAAGGACGAACGTCGATCGGTGGTGTGCCGGTTTCACCAATCACTTACTATAGTTATATTTAAAATTACAAAGCAAAAAAATATATATATTTCTCCTGTGTCACACGATGATAATAAATATTCACCTGGGTACACTTCCAAGGGTTTTAATTATGCACTAAATAAATTTAACATTCCCACAACAACTAATCCCGACATTAAATAACTTAAGCTAAAGGATCGTGTACGTAGCCGTAGCGAACGCCATGAATCAGATTAATCTACGTTCTTGTAATAGACACAATATACTTAGACGCACACAATCATCCAATATATCGGTACACGAACAAAATTGTATGTATTTACGGTGTTGGCGTTGTGTGCGTGCACACACGTGCAGCCCGCGGGAGGTTCAACGTACCAGTTGCCAACTACGCGAGTTCCTTGTTCCACTTAAATACTGACACTATATTATTATCGTTACAACAATGTTTAATAATTAAGAAAAAATTTATTCAACTATTATTACGAATATTTCTAATGATTATAAATTAAAGCGTTATTAACGTTATTTAATTCATCACCTGCATAGATAAATTGGTATTGTAATTTATTCTGTCACAATATAATTTTGGATTAAATGTCAGTCAACTGCAAGTATTCGTCGGGTAGAAAACCGCGAACAAAATGCCAATGTGTTCGGTTCCGCTATTCGTCGATACAAAAGATTTGAACGCGCGCGCATCTTACTTTTGCCCTTTTAAATTGTACCGATTTCTACATAATAGTCGAAGCTGATGGCAATGTTTATTTCAAAGTTTCAGCTTTTAAATCTATCTACGATAACCACATTTTTTATCGGCTTTTGGATAATCCTCAGTTATGATTATTACTCTATAAACATTCTTTTAAACATAGCGACAGTAAATATGAAATATTGCAAAAATTGCATTAAATATTGTTGTTAATAAAAAGCAGTACAATTATTGTGAGATGTGGGCGCAGACACTTTATAAATGCATAAACATATACATATGAATGTTGATAATAAAATTATACGAACGAAATACATTAAGTGTCCAACACAATATGGAGTATGTAGGTGCAGTTGAACGCGGAAGTGAGGGTGGACGACGGCGCGACTCGCAAACTGACAGCGATGCATCGACAATGTAAAAAACAATTTTAATTAGCCCACGTATGCATTGGTAACACGAAGCGTCAATTAAAAATCCCATAACTAGACTGACTCATGGTAATAGAGGGATGATTTGGAGGAGTTGGGGATGTCATTCTTCAAATTCCGTTAAGCCGTGTAGATTTCAAGAGAAGGCCTACGATAGTACACTGTTTACATATATTATGTACTACGCCAAATATCACTCTAAATACGACACAAATAAACGCTATTTCATCACATTCTTAAGTTATAATATAAACTTAAAAACAGAAAATACTACTAAATTAAAGAATTCGTGTACCGGGAAAATTCTCAAAAGCTGCTTATAATAAACAACCCTTAACTAAGTACGTCATACGTAGCTTTTACTTATGTTTACAATGCAGAAATTAAGGCAAGCTGCCGTATAAAACACAATCACCGCACTTAATATAAGATACGAGATGTTATCTTAAGTTATATTAATAAATATGTCGGCCGCACTCAAATGTTTTGATGGCTAAGTAAACAAAAACTGTATAAATTACACGTATCAGTGGTCAGTTAAAGTTTCAGTACAAAATGCTATTGAAGAAATCGTTTAAACATTTCGACATGCACTTTTTTAAATCACTGGGTCAAAAACCGCGAAGCCCTTCCGCGTTGACGCGGTCAAAATGACCATGATACAGAATACCTTGCTACGAGTTATTTTCAAAATTACGTGTTATATTTCTTCACGTTAAAAACACCTAGATTAACCGCACTTTCGCTTGTCTGCTCTTTCTCTGTCAGACCACACCTCATCTTGTTTTTGTTTAAGTTTGCGGTACGAAGCTATTTATATTATCTGTTATAGAATAAAAAAGTTAAACGTGTTAAAATTAACATCGTAGCAGTATGTGTTCCCTTTATGCGGTTTTATTGGAAGGAATGTAGTTATAACGAATATTGTAAAGAAATAAGATTGATGGTGAGTTGTCTTTTGTTGTGAACGAACATCGATTACAATCTACCTTCGACAATATGGCAAGAGATATGCGAAGTGCTTAATTTTTTTTACACTTAAAAATTGGTCGTTAAATTCATACATCCAACAAAACTTCAACTTATAAATCTGGTAGAGTTTTATTCCATCATAGCCAAGTACACTAATTTTAGTAGAGTTTTATCAACTCAACTTAAGACAATGAGTATTGGTTGGGATAAACCAACTTGCCAATGGGTTCAATTTAAATCGCGCATATACACTACATTGCTAAAAATCACGACATAAAATTAATATATGATAAATTATAATAAATATGACTTTAAACATTTTATTTTAGTGTTTGTCATATAAATGACAGAAATTAACATAAACAGAATGCGTAAAACTAGTAGTATGTAGCAAAAAATTATAGAATAAAATTAATGGACACGTACCGTCCAAATGTCTGCTGCAGTTGTATAATCTGAAATAAAACATTTAAAGTGTTGTTAATGAAATGCATTTATAAATAAATAATTAATTAAATTAATTACATATTAAGATAACAAACATTTAGAAAGTAAATAACTAATTTGTAATCATAGGATTAAATTCAGTAACATAATATTTAGTTAAGAGTTAAATCCCTAGTGGAAATATCGAAAACTTTCCGTACTGAATTTGCACTTATATTTAAGATTAAAAGATAGATAAAAATTCAAAAACTGCACATACATATATCTTTACCAATTTATGAACGTCATTGAGACAGGTAATTAAATCATTGCTTAATGCGTTCCGAGCTGTTTTTCTTAAATACTTATTTTGCACAAAAACTACGCTTTCTCTATGTAAAATGTAAATCCGTCATAATTTCTATTTATATTTATAAAGCAACAGCACCTAAGTAGGAAAAGGAGATAAAAAGCGGTCTTAATACAATTAGAGATTTGTTACATAGCGCAGTTATTCGTAATTTATGCGACTTACTCATATGTAAGAATATTTTAGCATGCAAATATATGCGGAGTCGTTTAAAAAATGTCTATGCGAGAAGGCTTGCACTTGATGGAAACTGGTGCAAAGCGAAGTGGTGCAAACCGCAGAACCAGTCCTGCGACAGGAAGCGGCCTCGAGAGCCGCCCCGGCGCCCGCGCCCCTTGCCTGCCCCGCGCCCGCCTCGCGCTGCGCGGCCCTCTCAGCGCACACCTGATCCAGACAAAGCGTGTCCTTCGCGTCGTTCTTATGACGCATACAAGTGCATTGCACTAATAATAAGGCCCTTTCCATGTCCGGTAACGCTTCTAGTACTACACAAAAGCAACGTCATTTGACCATTTCAAAATCGGTACATATTATAAAAGATAATCTTCAAACCGCATTTCTTATTTTAATATCCAAAATAATCACAGACTTACTTTATGTATTATTGTAAATATATTATTTTCACCATTAATTAATAAATTATTTGTTATTATTACAAGTATTCATTTGTTTATCATATTTTTAGTATAGTACATTTCATTTCCAAAAAAATATATACAAAACATATTACATTATAAATAGAACACTACCAGCTGCGGAATCCCATGACTCGTATGAATATTTGTTATATTGTTATTGTTAATACAACAACAGACTTGTAGTCATATTTGTGTTGGCGTGTACGCGCGTGTGAATGGATGCAAATGACTTGTTCAAAATCATCAAAAACAACCCAAATATAAAAATAAATATTGATTATCAATTTAAGCATGCGATACATTGTTATGCTGTAATAAAAAACAATGATGACATAGCACTCGGGACGGCAAAGGATGCAGCGAGTACAAAGCAGCATGCAAGACACCAGCCGCCGACCGCCGCGCCGGTCGCATCGGACCGCCCAAAGAAACGATCTCATAGAAAGTAGAGCAACTCATTTATTTATTCAGTGCAGCGGCGGGTGCGAGCGAGACGATGCCGCGAAACTGGCTCATTAAAATAAAAATCCGATTTCTGAGTGCAACTCGCGCGGAGCGAAATAAAAGTTTCCGACGAAATTTGCTCGAGTTATTCCAAAAAAGGTGCACGAAACGCCTCTGCAACGAGATCGGCAGATACAGTCGGAGAGAAACCGACCGCGATAGCCTGTGCGTGCGCAGCCTCCGCGAATGCTTTCGATCATGTTTACTTACATATCGTGCTGCAATTATTATGATCGGACCTTACATATGCTACTTGTAATTCTACAATTATAAACTTTGAAAATTTTTAAGTGCATTAAAGTAGTAAGTCGGCGATCATTTCTTTTCCGCATTGGTGTGTATAGTGTTTTCACTGCGGCGGCCATTGTTAGAACATTACGCAGATATAGCGTTGCATTATCGGCACGATGGCGGCGGCTCTATAATCATCGTCGCGAGTCACGTTATGCGCTCGAGCATTCGCTATGTAAATAGCACCATGCACGACATTGCTTTATGCTGCGACTAAATGTAAATCGTTTTAATAAATTTACATCCAATAATGTTCGATATCAACTTCGGTTATCGATAGAATTAACATTTATATACCGACTTTATTGATATAAAATTTCATTTAATACTCTCCTCATTGTGACGCCGCGTGCACGATATAAGAGTAAGAGTAGAGCACGTCAATTATTATTAAATACGCGGAATTAACGAAAATCAAAAGCCTTTCACCTCGCGAGTCCTTTCTAGCTTTTAATGTCTGAATAAATTTTATGATTTACTGAGGTGCGTGGGCCTTGTAATGTAATGGCCCATTAAAATGATTTTTAGTAATGTTTTATTTGTGTCATTTGTATTTATAAAGAAACTTTTATATAATAACTTTTATTGTATTCAATAAACTGAAATGGATTAATAAAATTTTACTAATTAAACATGATGGGCATTGCGTTATCCAGTTCGTCGAAATGTATTTTGAAATTTTCAATTACCTAATAAATGTTCTTTTGCCACCATAATATTTTTAAGTCTTAGATCTTATCTTATTTTATCTTGTATCGGGTATTGTAAATACATAACAAAAATATGCATATATGATTAAAATCTAGAGAATAATAAAATATTTTTATGTCCTTATTATGCAAAACAAATTAAATTTAATTGTATTATTTGTAACAATTTTCTAAAGATTTTAAAGTAAATATGTTTCTGCTTTATTAAATACAAAAATATATCTCTTTATATGATATAAAATTATATACACGTGTTCTCATATATTGTCAAAATAAAAACCGGAGACACGCGAAGGCAAGTTGTTATCATTGAGTATTAAGTTGTTCAGAAGGTTGCTCGCCCTAATATTTGGTTCAAGTAACTTCTCCGTACATTTCCTTCCTGTTCAGTTACTTAGATTAGTTTTTAATATTTATTTCTGTCTAATATTGATATTATAAAGAGATAACATGATTATTTAAATTCAATATATTTCGCAACGCATCTCGCTGAAATTTGGCATGGATATAGAGCACAGACTGGAAGAACACAAAGGCTACAAAGTTTTTTTTTTAATTTCGCTTAAACGGAGTTCTGGGTTACAGCCAGTAATAAATTAAAGACGGGAAATCTTAATATTTGGTAAGATAATCAAATATTTTATGCTAATGGAAGTATTCTATAATTGCAGTAAATTATGAAAAACAACAAAGTTAACGAGAACAGGCAGGTATGAAAAAGTAACAATGAATTATGGGATCAGAAGATAAATCGACCATGTGGTCTGTTACAGCGCACAGTGAGAGGCGGCTGTCATGTCAATCATGTGGAGAAACACACACTTTGCTTTTTATTTTCCACTTTTTGCCTTCATAATATTTGTGTCCACGCGTGTTATTATTTATGGCTCGAGTGTTATATCTCATGGCGATTAAAAAGAGAAACGTACACGTCATAAGTACATGGGTACACTTTTTAAATTATTATTTATGGCAGGTTCGTACTAATTTAATTTAGTCGTCTTATAATGACTACTATGACCATAAAACTCATGATAGATGTATGAATTGAATAATTCTTTAGTACTTTATATGGCGTTTATGAAAAAAAAATAATCTAAAATCCTTCATACTCGATAAATGGATTAAATTATATTTGTATAACGGATGTATTGATGACTGACCTCTGAAGTACGGCTACTTATAACGACAGTGTCACTTAGTACAGCTTAATTAAGTTCCGTTTCCATTTCATTTTTTACTTCGGCTTATAGTGACCTATTTGATTATCAATTGATCTCTGATAATAAATCAATTTCGATTCTAAACAATAACTTTAATTGTGCTCACAAGGGATCTAGAATAATGATATTTGTTCGTTTTAAAGAGATATACTTAATAAATGAAATAAAAAAAGAATTATTTTTTTAAAGTGAATGTGAATTGTAAACATGTCATTTCTGTGTATGTTTTCATTAGAATTTAAGAACAGGTGGCATGCCTCACATAACTCAGCGTGGGCTGTCAACACGGGCATGCCCGCCTCGCCCCACACGCGCCCCGCCCGTGCCTCTTGCACTTCTCGCCCGCCGTTTCTACTGGAGTGGAAAACAAATGTCTCCTCGTGCCAAGTGCTTGTATACACGAGTACCTTCTAACTTCTCAATTGTGTGAATGAACAAAACAAACATTTTTGTTACTTCCGTTAAAAAGTTTCATTGTATTACATTTTACGCACAGAGTTAAAGCTTCAACTTAAGTAAGTTAAGGGTTCAAAATTGTGTACCCATACACGTATTTCATTTTATAATTATAATGTGGAGGTAATGGTTCACTAATGGAAGCTCTGTCGTGTGTATTGCGTTAACATTCTTAGTTAGCTCTATGGTATATCTTCTACATGAAAAGCAATTTATGTGAAACAACGTCCAAACTTTAATGAAGATCTCAGCCTAGTTACAAGCTTGTGTTGGATGCAACAAAGAGAAACTCACTGAGTAATATCTCCATTGATATACTGCACAGCTCGTTCGCAAGACAAGCGCATTGAGAATACATAGTTAATGATACTGACGCCATTTTCAAACAAATACACAACAAAACCTTAAAACTTATATAACCAATTGCGCAAAATATATCCAGAGACTACATAAAAACTGATATATTAATAATGAATACTGTCTATCTACCTACAAAGTTCGTTTTATTTTAATGTAAATAACAGTTGCCTTAATTGTCTTCCTTGAAACGTGTATAAAAATAGTACAAACAAGTCAATTCGAATGAAACTAGTCACGTATCTCGTAAGATACAATACTTAACATTGTCCTGGGTCCGGCTCATTGCATAATTGGACCGGTACGCACGGTCACTTCATATTTCTTGTCGAGCTAGGCATCGTGTTTACAATTATAATACTAATAAAAATATAATCAACAATGTGAACAAATTATAATGGCAATATTATTTACATTAGTAATGTACAATTGTTAGATGGTGTTACTAACGCGATAAACTAATATGTTATTTCAATGCGC